TATAATAGAAGCACTGGAACCGTATGTGGCAGCGATATTCTAAGCAGGAACGAATTGTTGACTTGTAGATATGTAAGATAAGATTGTGCAATAAAATTATTGTACAGTGCGACACAATGTGCCAACCTTACAATCGATCCGATATAATCTTACCATTTCAAGTCAGTGGATAACATAAACCTGATAAGGCGTAACGAGTCAATCTTATGGAGTCTAGAACCAGCCATGCTGATAGAAGTGAGAAAGTATTATGTCAGACGATTAATAGAAAGCCGTTTTACCTTTGGAGGCGTTAAAATTAAGAAAGTCAGTGCTTGGTTTGGTTTGGTTTGGTTTACGGCTTAGGTCAGTTCATTGAAGACGTTCGCTATGACGGAAGCTTCATAGAAGCTTTATAGCGTTTTTCTTTATAGAGCTTCTGTCACCGTATCTAGTGCAGTCTTAACAAACAGTTCAATTCTAACAACAACAATAATAATAATAACAATAATAATGTAATCCCCATCATTACAAAAGGGGAATGTATTCGTAGATAGTTTCGAACGATCTATACGAAGACTCAATCCCAGTTCTAGAAAACATTAAATCAGATCAATCAAATAACGTTTCAGAAGAGTTTTGAATATTTATTTTGAGATATATTCCATTTCAAGAGCAACTACAAAAACATATTTTTGTTCTGATTTGTGTTTAGTTTTATTTTGTTTTGCGGTATATCAACACCTCAATGGGTTATTTAATCCCGACATGATTTTTAGTATAGTTCGTATGAATAGAATATGTATTCTTTGATGTGGTTTATTTTGATTTACGGCATATCAACGTCAATGGGTTATTTAATGAGGACAATATTTTTAGTATAGGTTCGTATAAATATAATATGCATTATTTGATTTGGTTTATTTTGATTTACGGTATATCAACCTCAATGATCACAAGATTTTTGGAATAGGTTCGTATGAATAGAATATGTATTCTTTGATTTGGTTTATTTTGATTTACGGCATATCAACCTCAATGGGTTATTTAATGCCGACAAGATTTTTATGTTAGGTTCGTATGAATAGAATATGTATTCTTTGATTTGGTTTATTTTGATTTACGGCATATCAACCTCAATGGGTTATTTAACGCCGACAAGATTTTTATGTTAGGTTCGTATGAATAGAATATGTATTCTTTGATTTGGTTTATTTTGATTTACGGCATATCAACCTGAATAGGTTATTTAATGCGGACAATATTTTTTATTGCTGGTAATAGTTTTTCATAAATATATTGTTGCTAGTATATTTTTTCCAGAAATGTATTGCTGGTAATACTTTTTTCCTTCAAAAATGCGTTGCAGGTAATATTTTTTTCCTTCAAAAAAACATTGTTGGTAATAACGTATTGCCGGTAATTTTTTTCATCAAATATCCACTGCTGCCAACAATTTTTTATTGGACTCTACTTTGAGCAAAGTATAATTATTCACCTATTTTAAGAGAAGCATCGTGACGAAATCAATCATAAAGGAGAAGGAAATGTTCATCATTAATTAACCATAGCTAAGTATCGGAAGCTTATTAAGTATTGTAATAAAGTTGATATATATATATATATATATATATATATATATATATATATATATATATATATATATATATGAAACCAGCACTGAACAGAATCAGCTATGAATGCTGCAGTAATGTTCTAAAATGCCTGTAAAAGAACAGTTTTTTCCACGTTTTAATGCGCGCGTGATCATGATATACGATTATAGATGGAAAAAAATTCCATAATGGATATTTTTTTCAGGTTCTAATGAACGCACAGCACATTGTCAACCGTTTTTCATTTAAAAGCATAATGAAAACGTACAAATTTGTATAAATACTTATATTAATAAAGAACATATAGTTTTGTATTACTTGCACCCCTGAAGATGATCTTTGAAAAAAAAATCGAAAGTATCTTGCTAATGAGAATAAAAGAAATTTAAACAGCTATAGCACATTTCTCTCATCTTTTAACATCAATACACGGAAGGTTATTCGTGAGTATAAACGGATTTTGGTAAAAATATGCAGACATAATGTCTGTAACTTATTCAATATATATATGTGTGTGTGCGTGCGTGTGTGTGTGTCTTTGTGTGTGTGTGGGGTGTTTGAGTGCGTGTGTGTGTTTCTGTTGTGTATCAGTAAGTAATCCGGTGCACAAGAACTAGAGAGAAAAGTAGATAATGAACAGTTTGGTATAGATAATAACAGACTAAGTTAGATGATAGATAGAAATAAATGGAGATAGATAGATAGATAGATAGATAGATAGATAGATAGATAGATAGATAGATAGATGATATGAGCAAGCATAGATAGATAGATAGATAGATAGATAGATAGATGTGAGCAAACATAGATAGATAGATAGATAGATAGATAGATAGATATGAGCAAGCATAGATAGATAGATAGATAGATAGATAGATAGATAGATATGAGCAAGCATAGATAGATAGATAGATTGATATGAGCAAGCATAGATAAATAGGTAGATAGATATGAGCAAGCATAGATAGATAGATAGATAGATAGATAGATAGATAGAGATAGATAGATCATCGTTCATTGGAATCGCTATGAAGTGAGGAAATCACTATGCATATCTGTGTAGCGAAGGTTAGTGAAATATTAATACTTACAAAAGCGACTGATTTCGTGAGATATGTCAAGAAAGAAAAAAAAAAGAAAAAAGCAAGAAAGAAAGAATGAAAGAAAGAAAGAAACTCTCAACGGAAGAACAAAGAAAGAGGTAAAATAATGTTTGGTTAGAATCATTCTCTCTTTGTGAAAACCAAACCCACACATTCTGCTACCATTTTGAGACGATCTCGTTAGCACAGCGGCAATTTCCTTAATCGAGATCTTATTGTCGGTCGCTTTTGATAACACAATATCCAACACCCACCTATTCAGCATTTACTCATTCTTTTCATCGATTTTCCTTTTCTTTTCTTTTTTCTTTCTGATTTCCTTTATATATTTTTTTTTATCATTCTAACATTTTATTATCTCTCCTTTTCCCTCTTTTCAGTTAAACATTTTACTCTTTCTTTCTTTCATTTTGCTTTCTTTCTTTCTTTTTTTATTTATTTGCAACATTACCTTTTTTCTTTCTTTCAGTTAAATATTTATTTTCTTTCTCTGCGTTTATTTTTATTTTCTTCACTAGAATATTTTTCTTTCTTTCTTATTCATTCATTCTTTATTTATTTATCCATATACAGTTTTATTTTTTCTTCTTTTTCTTTCTTTCGATGAAACATTTTCTTTCGTTCTTTACATTTTCCTTTCTTCTTTCTTTGTTCTAGTGCCATTTACTTTGCCATCTGTTTATTTTATGTCATTCATTAAAAGATTTTCATTAATTCTTTATTTCTTTGTCCCAATGCCATCTTTTCCTTCTCCTCGTTTTTCTTTCTTTGAATAGATGACTTGCTTTCTTTCTTTCAGTACAGGACTTGATATTCTTTCTTTCAATGGAAGACTTCCTTTCAATTGAGTACCTGCTTTTCTGTCTTTGAATGGAGGACTTTCTTTCTTTCTATAGAGATCTTGCTTTTCTTTCTTTCAGTAGAGGACATGTTTTCCTTTCTTTCAATGGAGCACTTTCTTTCAATACAGGACTTGCTTTTCTTTCTTTGAATAGAGTATCGGAGTTAACTACCCCTTAATTTCCTAATTGTTCACTAGAGCACGCTCTCCCTACACTATAAATACTGGACGATTTCTCGCCTCGCTCTCTTTTGACTTTGCATTTCAGTGCACACATTTAAAAATGTGATCTCTCGCAGAGATCCGCGTTTTCGACCACTTGTGGAAAAACGCCATGAAACACACATACACATACATACGAACATTCACCATAGTATAAACCCTTTACGTCCACACACAGACACAAATGTTGATGTCTTTGTCACTTGTAAATATGTTGTTTAATACATATATTTGTTGATATATATATATATATATATATATGTATATATATAAATATATATATATATTATGTCCGTATTTTGATGTATCAGTTATTAGTTACGTTTTGATAGGGGTAGAGATGTATTTTTCAAAGAATTCTGACATCCGTTAAATGCATGTCGTCTGGATTTAATTTTTTTTTTTAATCTAGCGATAATGAACACGCAAACAACCCTAGTCTGGTTGAATGGATTTCTCTGTATCCTTGGAAACGTGAATTATGATTTTTGCTGTGTCTTTAAAATCCAGTTATTTTAAAAGTTACTCCAAAATTCGCTTGAGGATAAAATGGAACTAATGTCTTTAATTTAATTACAAAATTAAATTCGGAGCTTTCAGCTTCCATTTTTGAAACATGGTTAGAACTGTGTAGCAAAAAAAACATATTTTAAATCAATTAATTTATAATATTAATGCTCTGTAAATTTACATTGAGCACAATTTTGTAAAAATAAAAATATCTATAAGAACACCGGATTATATATCTTACTGTTCTTTCTTTTTTTTTATATATATATATATATATATATATATATATATATATATATATATATATATATATATCGGTCTTGTTTGTTTTCTTTACAACTTCGGTTGGACTCAACTTGAGTCCGCCATGTTTTTGTAGTTAGACTTTCTTCTAGCAGGAATAAACAGCACTGGTTCCTAATTTAAAAGCACGTTCCTCTACAAGAAGAGTTGCTTCTTTTCTTTTTTTTTTTTCAATAATGGACGTGCTTTTCTTTCTTTCAATGGAGGACATCCTCTTCTTTCTTTCAGTGGAGGACTTTCTTTCTTTCAATAGAGACTTGCTTTTCGTTCTTTCAATAAAGAATTTGCTTTCTTTTTTTCCAATAGAGACACGCTTTTCTTTCTTTCAAGGAGGGCTTTCTTTTCTTGCAATGGAGAATTTTCTTTCTTCGAATAGAGGGGCGTGTTTTCTTTCTTTCAATAAAGAACATTCTTCTTTCTTTCTTTCTTTTCTTTTTTCTTTATGTTGTTTTTCTTTTCTTTATTTTTCGCTTTTATCTACTACTACATCAAATTGAAATTTGAAACTTGTTTTTTTTTTTATTCTCCCAGTGTCAACATATCCACTCCGGATCGCAATTTATCTACCATCTATATTTTAGTAAATATTAGCTAGAAATTATTGGTTTGTTTAAATATATAATTGTAACGCAGTTATGTGTCATGCGTGATACCCGCTTAGGCGATCATTTAATTTCAATGCATGATTGACGAGGCAGATTTTCTCATTATACCATTTCTTTCTGCGGTAGATCAGTTGCCATCCAAGGCTACAGAACACGGTCTGTATTGCTAATTAATCATAGCAAAGGGTGAGAAGAGGATTCATGCCTTTTCCAAGGGTATTAGCACGTAAGTACTGTAACGAATTCGACTGGAAAAAGTCAGCTCAGCAATATCTCAATCCGAGCCGCTATCAATGACTCCACTGTGCCGCCTTTCAACCTTTCCCGGGCAACATATTCAAAATTATATTATCTTTGTAGCAGGCGATGTCTGAGCTTTCTCGCATGTTTTTCTTCTTCCAAACACACTTCCAACAACCAAGCCATCTCTCCCAAACAGCTCAACACACACACACACACACACACACACACACACACACACACACACACACACACACACACACATATATATATATATATATATATATATATATATATATAGGGTTATTCAAATAGAAAGAGCAGATTTCGAAAATTAAATAAAAAACAAATGCTAAGAGACAAAAACACATTACTGGAAAGAAAAAGCTTCACGATTTATTATTTTAAGGTTACACTTAGCAAATTGATGTACACAATACGACATTACTTGTGGTGTGGGCATTTTAAAGGATGATACAAATTATATCAAAACTATGGAGTAAAAAATACCATAAACTAGCATTGAAATAAGACTGAAAAAAATTAATACATTTTACTAAATTTGCACATTTTTCTATCTCGTAATGTATTGAATGTATTTCTCTCTCTCTATTCTCTCTCTCTCTCTCTCTCTCTCTCTCTCTCTCTCTTTACATTTGTTTTTATTAAAATGATATTAAAAATAAAGCGATAATATTATATAAAAAGATTTATTTAACTTTTAAATATCAATTTCACCCCGACGTCGAAGTTCCCTGGTAAGATTTCTGTTTTACGGTTGGTTCAGTTTTAAATGATATTTCCAACGGAAATCTTCCCAGCAAAGTTCGAAGTCGGGATAAAATTTGTTGTGGCCTTTTTGGGGCTAGAAATAAAGACACAAAAAAAAGAATTGTGTTAAATATATCAACAGAAAAATAGTAGTACAAATGAGCAAGAATGTTAAGTCCAACTGTCAGAACTAACTTCTGGAAACTACACGCGGTATTTACTCTGTACCCTCACTTGGACGAGATGTGACACAAGGTCTATTTTTAGGTGGGGAGCCCGAGCGCGTACACCCGGGACAGGAACCAAAATTCCCCTCATCCTCTGCAACCGTCCGTTGCACTGGCCTAGGTTCAAGCACCGATCTTTCCCTCTGGTGCAATGGGAGGGCACGGCCTCGGGCAGCTGTTCCCCAGGGCTGGGCATCTTTCAGTATAATTTTCTCAGTTGCCCCTCTGTCCTTTGACAGAGAAGCCCACTGAGCGCACTCTGCCCAAAGACAGAGACGCAACTGAGAGATGATAAGTAGACGGGTGACTACTCTAAAAGAGTAAGGTACACGCTGGAAACTACACTCTGTAAAAAGCAGTATCTGCTCTTATTTATACCTGGGAGAGTCCATCAGTTCATAAGTAGGGGGAATTACCAAAACAAAATTTATATTCAAATGTTAAGAAACACACACACACACACACACACACACACACACACACATATATATATATATATATATATATATATATATATATATATATATATGTATGTATGTATGTGTGTGTGTGTGTGTGTGAAACATTCTCAGAATTAATCTGTAGAAAAAACAATATCTATAAAAAGAAAAAAAGACACTAAGAAAACAGCATGAATTAATTCAACCACAATTTTAAAATTTTAAAATTGCTGCATTCAGAAAAGAAGAAAATAATTTACTCAGATGGAAAATACTAGAGAGTTCCGCCATTGAATATTATCCAAATATTAATCTCTGCTCTGTTTTTTTTTTTTTTTTTTTTTTACCAATCTCACCTTTCCTAACAGAATCTCTACTTCCCCAATCCAAGGAACATAGCCAATATATCAAGAAATCAAAAGAAAACGGGTTACTTCGACAACACAACAATACAAACAATATTTCTAAATTTGAAAATTTTCCTTTCAGTCATAAAAAAGCAAGTGGCGCAATTGTTCATTTGACCCAATGAATATACAATAGCGTTACGAAATTCTAGTTACTAATGACATTGTGATTCAGTTCGTTTTTTACCTTATAAAAGTCCACATTAGAATCTTGTCGACTAAATATATATATATATATATATATATAATAAAATTATATAGATCAATTCTGTGGACAAGACAGATTGGTATGAGATTGTTTTTCTAAGATTTTTTTCCATATATATATATATATATATATATATATATATATATATATATATATATATATATATATTTTCATTTTCATGTTCATACATTCTTTTTTTATGGATACAAAAATTTAAGTAAATACTCTGTTTATTATAAACAGTATTAACGACATTTACCCGGCTGAATGTCCGAGAGATTTTCATAGAAAATATGCGTCCACCGACAGGAATTGAACCTGTATCCTATAAAGAACGTATAAACATAAAAAATGTTTTAAAATAATTGTCGGACTTTGTCCATTTTCATATATATATATATATATATATATATATATATATATATAGAGAGAGAGAAGAGAGAGAGAGAAAGAAAGAAAGAAAGAAAGAAGAGAGAGAGAGAGAGAGAGAGAGAGACGAGAACAGGCTGAGATAGATGAAAGAGATGAAAGATAGGAATAGGCCGAGAGAGATAGATATGAGATGAGTGAGATAGATAGATAGATAGATAGATAGATAGATAGATAGATAGACTGACAGACAGAGAAGAGATTGAATTAGCGAGATAGATAGATAGATAGATAGATTATATTTGCTACAACATAATTTAAATATATGATACACCATCAAGCAAATTCATATATATTAGGTTTATAATACCCAGAAATACATACACAGATGTCCTCAAGTTTATACCTTATTTTTATAAATAAAATTTACTTACAAAAATGTTCTTTTTTTTTTTTAAATTAAATATTATTAATTACATTTACCGGCTTGAACTTTCGAAATCGAACCTTTATCCCTTATGGGAATTATCATTTAATCTGATGTGCTGTTAACAATTCAACCAGTAATTCGGACTTTGCTAATCCGACGCTAGTTTGTGGCTAAAAGTTTAAAAACACAGACCAAATAGTTGTTCGCATTCGTGATGAAAGTTCGATTCCCGTTATAAAATTTCTCGAACGTTCCGGGCGTTAAATATTAAATTCAGTGGATTTTCAAAGTTTTACTTAATTAAATGCATATATCTTTAAAACTTTGCGTTCTGTCTTTCGTATTCCAAATTCTGGGTTTCCCTATCTTTTTTCACCTCTTATGGCTATATGCGTGTGAATTCGGCTTTAAACTTTTGAATCTTCTCAGGTGGCGATGTGGATAGAAATATCGGAGTAAATCATGAAAGCTATAAATATCTTAGAAGTCTTCGTTCCTTTGTCGATATTTGAGGAGTTTAACTTGATCTGGAAGAGAGGCGACGTAGGAGGAGAGACAGTATTTATGCGCTTCTCTCGCCGCCATTTGTAAGAAGGCCATCTTAATCTAGCAGCCAAGGCTGTTTAAACGGTCTCTTCTAACGGACTGGTCTTCGTGATGTTTTGGTTAACTACTGCTCTGTGGAAATGGATTTTATTAGGTAAGCACATAATATGACAGAGCACGGGTTTAATTTTCACACTCTTTTCGAAACACTATATCAGTAACGGTCCAAGAGTCATTTTAAGCAAATTCTCTTTCACGGTTTGATACACATATAACGAGAGGTTTCTATTGAAGAAAACCTATTTTCCCATTTGAATTTTCCCCGTTATGGGCACTATTGTATCCTTGATATAATAGCCCCTACTTCACGGGCGTAACGGGATAGCTGAATAGAAAAAGTATGCTTAGTTTCATGCGAGAGTTTTATAATGCTACGTCGTATACAAAATTAGATATATACACATGTCCAACGCAGAGAAAGTTATAACAGATAGGCAACAACAAACGGTGTGTAAGAAAAGCAAACTTACTTGTAATAATACCCGAACTGAAAACTATAGTTATGTCGGGTTTTGTGAGACTTACCGTTGTGGACGTCCTTCTTCTCTTTGTTCTTCATCGCAACTCCCCTTCGTCGCACTATTCGTTATTCGCCGTCCGTCACGTGACTCGCGGAACTATCTCAACGAAAGGGAGACAATCGCCGTTTGTGTGCCTACACACAATTATCGTAAACCACCAAGGGGTTACTAACAGTTAAAGAAGATGAGGAAACGCCCGTGGGGAGCAACGACTCTAAAGGAAAATGTTTCAGGATGACAGAGGGTGAAGAGTGAGGTTTTGTTTAAAACCTTGGAAGATCCTAGGATACAGGAAAGCAAGATGTCGGAAGGGAGAAGAGAGAAGACGGAGAAGAGAAAATTTAAGAGTTGAACTTATGGTTACATAAAGCTATTTTTAACAGGAAAATGATTACACCTAGTTGTTAGTCTACTACAAATGTCGAAATTCATGCGGTCAAGATACCAAGAAAGCGGGGGGGCCATTAAAACAAATGCCAGAAAAATATTCATAGAAAGGCAGGACGAAGACATGTCACTGCAATGACAAAGTTATAAAAATCTAGATGTCTCTTCAAGATAGTTTCTCACGCGAGAAGTGTAGGAGAAGAAACTCGTAGGATAGAACTTACGGTTGCATGTAGCCATTTCAGTTGTAAAATAATAAGACCAAACTGCTTTGTCCTGGGTATGACGATAAACTACAACCGCGTCCTGTATAAGACGATTAACTACGTCCAACAGCAAGGACTTTGATCAGGAGGTTTTGAGGAGCGTGGAGCCACCTGTTGGTTGTTGGTATTCCCGGGTCCGCTCTGACCCGCGGTGGTGGCACCTGTTGGGGTCCCGACTATTGGCAGATGGTTAAACTCCAAACTGGTGTCAGAACACTGTAGAAGTGTAAATATAGGTTTTAATAACAGCAACAAAACTTTTATTACCAGCAATACATTATTACTAGCAATACATTATTACCAGCAATACATTATTACCAGCAATACATTATTACTAGCAATACATTTTTGAAAAAATATTACCAGCTATACATTATTGAAAAAAAAAAATTACCAGATATACATTTTTGAAAACAAACACCAGCTATACATTTTTGAAAAAAAAAAAATTCCAGCTATACATTTAAAAAAAAATATTACCAGAGATGTATTTTTGGAGAAAAAATATTACCAGATATATATTTTGAAGAAAAATATAATACCAGAAATAATTTTTTGGTGGAAAATATTAAAAGCAATAAATATTGTCGGTAATAAATAATCCATTGTGGTTGCTACGCCGTAAAACAAAAGAAACCAAATCGAACTGCCAATTTAGTACTGCGCTTAGTCATAAGATCTACGTACCAAAGAAAAAAGCTTATCAGAATAATTACCATGAAAATAATTATATTAGGTCGGTGCAAAAATAATGTCGTTTTTGACGTTCAACTTAACTTAAAAAAACGACATTATTTTTGCACCAACCTAATAAAGGCACAATAAAGTTACGTAACGACGGTTGGAAAATGAGTGAAACCCAGATGTCAGGTCAGGACCAATAATATTGCAGATCCACCTTTGGATTTTATCAAGAATCATAGATATATAGCCTGAACACCATCCAGTGTGTGAAAGTAATATACAATGCTGGATTTATAAGCAGGCATACTGGCGTGAAATATTTGTCGACACAGTGAACCAAGTTTCGTAGCAGTATAATAACCATTCCGCTTCCTATCGGTGGAAAATGGGAAGCCAGGAAGGTGAAAAGAATCGCTCTCCTGGTGGTTAGCATCAGCCATTCTGATATGTGCAGGGTTCATCCTGCCATTGTATCTGATCGATTGCATTTGGTTCGCATCATTTTGATATTTTTGCAGCTGCATTAGGTGTATTAAGTTTTACTTACATTTCTTCAGTCATTTGAAACTCCAAATTAAAATTGTTAGCTTCCTTTATTACTGGATAATGTATCTTACTTATTCATGTTCTTTGACACAGATCATCATCCAGACCTGTCGTTTCCAGGTATCTTTTAACGTCGATTTTGGTACACTATTTCCATTATTCGGACTATTGTTCTCATCTTTGTCGCCATGTTTATTACAACGTTTCGACCGTTGTACGCTCCGGCATTCTTCAGGTGGTTGGAATGTCCAACTGAACACTTTCTTTCGCTCACTGGGGTCGGCTGTTCTAGTTCCACGTGCCATGATTTGATGGATACCAGTTATCAGTTATCTCCTGCTTAATTTCCCTATCCAAGTTCTCCACCGCCTTAACCAGGTATTGAACTCACATACTTTGGGTCCTCTCACTGGACATAACCAACACCTTTATACAGTGTGCCACGTGTCCTTGAGAGAGGGGAATTAACAAGAGATACATGATAACTGACATCTATTAAAACAAGGCACGCGGAACTAGAACAGTCTACCCCAGTGAGCGAAATAAAGGGTTTAGTTCGACATTCCAGTCACCTAAAGAAGACCGGAGCGTACAACGGCCGAAACGTTGTAATATGGCGAAAAAGATGAGACAATAGTTCGAATAATGTAAATAGTGTACATAATACCTCATCTCAGAAATATAGACAGATACTGAAAGGCCGAAACATTGTGATAAATATGGCGACAAAGATGAGGACAATAGTCCGAATAATGTAAATAGTGTACATAATACCTCATCTCAGAAATATAGACAGATACTGAAAGGCGGAAACGTTGTAATAAATATGGCGACAAAGATGAGGACAATAGTCCGAATAATGTAAATAGTGTACATAATACCTCATGTCAGAAATATAGACAGATACTGAAAGGCGGAAACGTTGTAATAAATATGGCGACAAAGATGAGGACAATAGTCCGAATAATGTAAATAGTGTACATAATACCTCATGTCAGAAATATAGACAGATACTGAAAGGCGGGAAACGTTGTAATAAATATGGCGACAAAGATGAGGACAATAGTCCGAATAATGTAAATAGTGTACATAATACCTCATCTCAGAAATATAGACAGATACTGAAAGGCGGAAACGTTGTAATAAATATGGCGACAAAGATGAGGACAATAGTCCGAATAATGTAAATAGTGTACATAATACCTCATGTCAGAAATATAGACAGATGCCTGTTTTTGTAGTTGAACTAATCATCTGCCTATTGTTATTATTATTATTATTATTATTATTATAAATGCACTGATGCTAATGGTTCGGTCCTTAGTTCATTAGAAGTGTTAACTTGCGCATATTTTGTTTATTAAGAATTGTTAAAGTAAATATCCCGTTCAGTTTCAGAATAGTGAATTTTCCTCTTCACTACATACTCCATAGTTGTAGCCTTGTGCCAAACATAAGCTGCGCTTTGTTTTTTTACGATAATGTTCACCTTGTACGAGGCCAGAGAACCACACAAGCTAGAGGTTTACAGGGTAAGAAACAAGGGGCACAATTTATGAAAATATGTCAAGAAATTAACGGTTAATACTAGAAATGAGCAGGGTAAGATTGCAGATATCGGGGTAAGCATCCTCTTGGGAGTCACTTTAAAAAATAGCAGTACGTTGGAAGAATCTCTTTGAGTGAAATTTACATCTCACAAGTGGAATAAGAGTGAGAATGGTTCGTTATAATGGACATGACATGGCGACTCAAAGCTGAAAAGGTTAGAGGATATAAGTAGAAATGTATATCATATAACAGTTTAAAATACGTATATTTAGGCAGCATATCTTCTTTCATATATGTTTAGTTGAATCATCTAGACATATGTTGATTTGTTATAGTCAATTTGAAAATTAACCTTAAGAATATGTAGGGCAGATAAGAATTTCAGCTTCCCAATAGATTGCTTTTATAGAGATTAAGATATTGTTGCGCTAATCATAATCCATTTTATTTAGTATTGGTTACATATTTTTTTTTTATCTAGTGTGCTTCAAGAATTTGAATATTTTTCTTTATTTTCTTGGTGGAGTATACTTGTTTTGTCAATTAATATCTCACAAAATAAACATGATTTTTTATTCACTCAAACCAAGGCAGGAGTCCCACTAGCACGCAAGAGATTGAGAGCAAGAGTAAAGAAGCGTGGTAGAGGAAAGGATGAAGAGAAGGACGGGGAATTAGAGCAAGGCATCTGAAGATGTCGATTGACATTGCATTTGAATAATTGAAGATCATATCTATCAGGGAAGCTAGTAAGATTAAGGAAGTGCGAGACATGAAGCTATTGGAGTAGAAGAGACGGTTACATTTAACAGTTTCGACAGTGAAAGGGTAGGACTGAGATGCCAACCTAGTAGCACGCTTAAATTCATGCAGTTTGGGAACCAGCGAATGTAGCTCGTCGGAGCAGTTACCCTGGAAGTATTTGTAGAAAAGTCAGCGAAAAGCGACGGTACGTCTGTTAGAAAGTAACTGTAGACGAGATGACAGATCAGGACCAATAACATTGCATTTTCGTCTCTGGATTTTGTCGAAGAACCGCGGAGGATACAGACCATATAGGGCAGCAGTACTCCATGCAAGAGCGAACGGTTATTTATAAATTTGAAGGATGGACTCAGACGAGAAAAGCTTTCTGGCACGACACATAGAACCAATTTTCCTTGCGGTAGATGAAGCTCTTAATTCAATGTAATTGTTCCATCTCAGGTCAGCGGATAGTTTGAGACCAAGCAGGCGCAGAGAGGCGCTCTAGTGGAGTTGAGCATCAGACATTCTAATGGGAGGCAGGGTGGGTTGTCTGTGGTGGGTAAAAGCGAGCAGATTTGTTTTTGAGGCATTAAAGTTTACCAGGCATTTCTTGTCCCAGTCAACCACTGATTGGAGTTAATTTTCGAGAGCAACGGCCAGTTTAGTTTTGTTCCTTTTCGACACCAAAATGAAACAATACTAACCTCGCCGTTGGTCTCGAAAAAGAACTTCTAATCTGTGGTTGACTGAGACAAGAAATGGCTGGTAAACTTTAATGCCTCAAAAAATACAAACAAAAAAAACTGCTCTCTTTTACCCACAGAGAGAAATCTTCTTTTATATGTTGTGCAATAGAACTAGAATCAGACATGTGTAAAGAGAGCCCTCTTGATAGAGTCGTCGTTGTGAAACCAACATCTATATTTACTTCTTCAGTGAATACAATCTCCCGAAGGGAACTTTTGAAAATAAAGTAAATAAAGAAAACTACGGCGACTTTCTTACTCAGATTTTTAACATTATGTTGAGGGGTCCACCCCTTTTTATACAAATGGACTTATCCAGTATATACATATGTTACTGCTACGGGAAGACCCGAGAGCTAGACCGAGGAGTCGAGTCGAGTCCAGATTGACAGAATAAAAGGTTGTAGGTAACCGGAAGAGTGAGGTGAGGTAACAGTGTTGTAAGAGTCACAGTGAGCGAGCACTTAGACTCAGTAAGAAGTTCATACAGCGATACTTCAATACCAAAGACTATATATATATATATATATATATATTGCTACTAACCCGTATTCCTGGAACTACTAACCTGCTTTACCAGTTTGTATTATTACGTTAATACATTATTTTCATATATGGCGTTTGTTATTTATTGGGACCGGATTTCAACCCGGAATCCACAACATTACTTAGCAATTGATCCGCGGATTGAAGAGGATTAAAATGAAAGTAAATAGACATATGTCTAGATTATTCAAACAAACATATAGCAGTTCAATAATATTTTTTGTACTTCGAACGAAATTTTCATGTTTTTTTTTATACTTTGTTTAACTTTTGCACACTTTTGCTATTCTAATGAGGTTTCACAATTTTCGTCCTCTGTTGAAATAATTCCTAAATATGTAAATCTTCGTATTTCATTGATTTTGGCGTCTTAGTTTCGTACTTCGCATCATACAATATACGGTCATGTTTTAATATTGTATTGTTTATCAGACAAGAGTCAAATTGAATGGTCGAGAATTTCGAAGTAATTGCAGACACTCCTTAACAGTGCCATATTTTTTTCAGTTCATCCCGTGCACATGAATGCAATGAGGGTACTCAGGATAGAAGAAAGGCGACAGCGATGGAAAGGTGCTAATTCTTCGGGCAACCCATCCGGTACTTGTCCCAGCTGCGGAAATAATTTATCTTCCTCACGCTAGTTTTACCAGTCATAGGCACAACGGCAACAAATCTGGAACTTCTTGACAAATCTTTGACTCTTGAAACAAAGATAATGGTGACAGATTGATATATAATTGTGTAGATGAGCGTGAACATTAAGCCAATAAAAAATTAGACACAAAATCATACAGTCACGTTCCAATATTAATGAACAAAAACTGCATGGTATATATATATATATATATATATATATATATATATATATATATATATATATATATATAGAGAGAGAGAGAGAGAGAGAAAGCAAGAGAGAGGGAGAGAGAGAGACGAGAACAGGCTGAGATAGATGAAAGAGATGAAAGATAGGAATAGGCCGAGAGAGATAGATATGAGTTGAGTGAGATAGATAGATAGATAGAGAGATAGATAGATAGATAGACTGACAGACAGACAGATAGAGAAGAGATTGAATTAGCGAGATAGATAGATAGATAGATAGATAGATAGATAGATAGATAGATTATATTTGCTACAACATAATTTAAACATATGATACACCATCAAGCAAATTCATACATATTAGGTTTATAATACCCAGAAATCCATACACAGATGTCCTCAAGGACACATGGCACAGTGGATAAAGGAGTTGGTTAGATCCAGTGTGAGTTCAATAACCGGTTAAGAGAACATTTAGAGGGAAAGTAATAGGCGATAACTGATAACTGACATCCATTAAACATGGCACGTGGAACTGGAACAGTCTACTCCAGTGAGCGAAATAAAGGGTTCAGTTCGACATTCCAACCACCTGAAGAAGGCCGGAGCGTACAACGGCCGAAACATTGTAATAAATATGGTGACAAAGATTAGGACAATAGTCCGAATAATGTAAATAAGGAATATTAGTGAAGGCAATTTTAAGGTCAAGTATGTTTATGGTTTCATTGTTAGGTTTTCCATGTTTTAAAATTCGAATTGCTTCATAAGTTGATTTTATGCTATATTTATTGTTTTTTTTTTGTTTTGTTTTTTTGGATTTTTATAAGCTTTTCACACCAAGCAAGGTGGGAAGCCACTAGGACGCGAGGGGTTACAGAAGATTTGGAGCAAGATCAGATAGGAGTGATAGAGGAAAGGATGAGGAGAAGGAGAGTGGATAGATCAAGGCAACTGGAGATGTCGATTGACATTACATTTGAATATTTGGAAATTATAGCTCTCAGGGAAACTGGAATAGGGAAGGGAGTTCCGCAGGCGAGAGGTTCGAGACATGAAACTATTGAAGTAGAAGAGACGGCTACATTTGGGAATTTCGACAGTGAAGGGGTGAGAGCGGGATGCCAGCCTCGTAGGGCGCTTGAATTCATGAAGTCTTTGAACCAGCGAATGCAGCTCCTCAGAGCAATTATTATGAAAGTATTTGTAAAAAAGACAGAGAGAGGCGACGGCGCGTCTGTGAGAAAGTGACTGTAGACGAGATGCGAGAACAGGGCCAATTATATTGCATATCCGCCTCTGGAGCTTATCAAGAACCCCGAGGCAAACGGAAGGCGCTCCAGACCATATATGGCAGCAATACTCCATGCAAGGGCGAATTGCTGATTTGTAGATCTGGAGGATCGATTCCGGGGAGAAAAATTTCCTGGCGCGGCACAGGGAGCCAACTTTCCTTACGGCGGACGAAGCAATTGACTCAATATATTTTTTCCATTTCAGGTCAGCAGTCAACGTGAGACTGAGCAGCCGCAGAAAGGTGCTCTTGAGAAGTTGAGCGTCAGACATTCTAATGGAGTGCAGGGAAGGATTTCTGTGGTGATTAATAGAGAGCTGTTTTGTTTATGAGGCTAGGTGAAACCAAGGTAGGTTTGTCTGGCTCCCTAGGTTTATCTAGGTCTGCTCTACGGTTGTATTGAGCTCTTTTGTTAGTTAGTTGTTTACTCGTGTCGGGGTTTTTGCTTTGGGCTTCAAACCTGTATCTGTGCGATTTTTTTCGACAGACTTTCATGTTTGTAGCTCTTTCTTTTTTTAAAACCTTTTTTCCCCCGAGATTGATTATTGGCAAATCAAAAATTCGAGGGTTTTTCGAAACGAGTATAGTTATCTATATTTGTATATATATATATATATATATATATATATATAAATATATATTGTCTAGTGATCGTGCTATTTCTCTTGGGATTCATGACAAAATCCAAAGAAGCATCTACTATGTAATAGATCCTAACCTGGTATCTCGAATTCAGTTACTTTCTTACCGACGTGACTTGGCTTCCCTCAACCTTTTCTATAAATATTTTCAACGCAACTGCTACGACGACCTTTTTACCTAGGTGTCCATATTACCTGAATTTAAGAGGACTACTAGACCCGCATCTAGATACCAGCATTTTATTATTGAAATAATGAAATGTAACCGACACTTCTATTCGAAAATTTTTCTCGTGTTTCCTTCCTGCACAACTCCTCTCCGCTTCTTTGAAAACTAGAACCTTCAAACATTTAAATGCAACATCAATCGCTATTTTTAGATTTAATCCAGTTCATCTTTTGTCATCTACACAATCCCGACTCTCTCCAGTATTTTCTCTCACTGTCATTCTCTGTATCCCGCCGCGGCTACTAGTGGTATTTCCGCTTTGCTTGGGGTGAAATGATAATACACACACACACATATATATATATATATATATATATATATATATATATATATATATATATATATATATGAAGAAATTTTGAAAAAACAAACAAAAATCCTTAAATGTAGTTAAAATGAAAGAAATGTCGACGTCTGACGTTTCGGTTTAATAAACCTTTTTCAAGACAATATTCATCAAAATACAATTCAGTTCAATATGACAAATACGATGGACATAAAAACACAAGTCTTATTCAGAACAGATATATATATATATATATATATATATATATATATATATATATATATATATATATATATATAATATTTTTGATTAAAAATATGATTCTTTTCGCAAAAATCAAAAATTTATCAAAAATATTATTATTATAATAAAGCTCTACTTCTGTATGGAGCACTGTCTTCTTAAAAAAATAAACCAAAAATACTAAGGAACCCTGGATTATGCACCCAACGTGTTCTATTCTATTTTCTTTATACCTGCGCTTATATATATATATATATATATATATATATATATATATATATATATATATATATATTGCTTTTAAATGTACAGTAAATAGTTGAAATTTCTCAAAAAAGATTGTCTGATGATCACAAAAAGCGTGAAACCCAGGGTCACAAACTCACATCAATACAACAGAATATATATATATATATATATATATATATATATATATATATATATATATATATATATATATATATATATGATGCGTAACGTTTTAATTAAATAACATTACAATTCATTTTTTATCAAATGTTTTGGTATTTTGGTATATGTAATTCATACACACACACTCACACTTACATACATATATATATATATATATATATATATATATATATATATATATATGATGAAGAGACTCGAGGCGGTGGAGGTATGGTTCAACAGAAGGATGCTAAGGATATCATGGACCGAGCGTGTGGGCGGCTAGGGGTTTTTAGAGAGGATGCAAACAGGGAGGAAGCTTATACTTATCATCAGGAAGAGGCAGCCGAAATTTCTGGGACACGTAATGAGAAAAGAGATCTTGGAGAATTTGATACTCACAGGGCGACGAGAAGGAAAGGGAAACAAGGGAAATTAACGCGTGGCATACCTAGCAGGCTTATGCAAGTGGATGACAAATCAGGGGTCGGAGAGAAATACCAAAGGAGCAAAACATATTGAGAGCCACAAGGGATATGTGTAAGTGGAGAGCCATGATTACCTACGTCCTTCAGCTGCCTCTTCCTGGTGTTATGGATAAGTATCCTTGTTTGCCACCTCTCCAAGACCTCATCGTTGCTCACGCGTTCGGTCCATGATATTCTAAGAATCCTCCTCTAGAACGATATCTTCGACGCTTCGGGTCTCTTCATCATCCTTGAGGACACCGTTCAACATTCGCCGCCGTAAAGGAAGACAAATGTCACGTAACAGTTCAGTACTCTTTTCTGTTACCAAAGAAATCCCCCTGTCTCGCAATACTCTGTCCAGCTTGTAGAATGTATCCTTGGCCATACCATACGTCTACCGATCTCCGTGTCGCACTTAACGTCCTGATGTTAAGTATAAGCCTTCTTGTTTGTTTGTATCATCTCTAAGTCCTCATCGTTGTTCACACACTGATTTCCATGATATCCTTATCATCGTTCTATAACGTCCTTGGCCATCCCAATACGTCTACGGTCGTACTTACCATCCTTTCTAACTCATCTCTGTTTTTTTTTCTTTCTTTTAATGGGCCGTAAGACGTAAGCGATCACGGCACTACATTTCCTCCTATCCATTGTAGCTCTAAATATGTTTTGTCTCTTTGCTACTTACCCCAGGACCTATTATGTCATCGACTTACTTAAGCCCGCCAGGTATGTCATGCCTTGCTTTCCCTTGTCTCTCTATCCCTCTATTCGACCTCGGGGTAACAGGTTCTCCTGGCCTTCCTTTCTCATTACGTGTCCCAGAAACCTCAGCTGCATCTTCCTGATGTTAAGTATAAGCCTCCTCCTTATTTTCATCATCTCCAAGACCTCATCCTTGCTCACACGCTCGATCCATGATATCCTTGTCTCTCTTTCACTCTGTTCGACCTCGGGGTATCAGGTTCTCCCGGGCTTCCTTTCTCATTACGTGTCCCAGACACATCAGCTGCATCTTCCTGATGTTAAGTATAAGCCTCCTCCTTATTTTTATACTCTCCAAGACCTCGTCGTTGCTCACACGCTCGATCCATGATATCCTTGTCATCCTTCTGTAGAACGATATCTCCGTCGCCTCGAGTCTCTTCTTCATCGTTGAAAAGACCGTCCAACATTCGCTGCTGTACAGGAGGACATATCCCACGTAACAGTTCAGTATTGTTTTCTTTGTTACCAACGTTATCCTCTTGTCTCGCAATACTCTGTCCAGCGTTTGGAATGTATCTTTGGCCATACCATTACGTCTGCGGTTCTGGCACTTAACGTCCTGATGTTAAGTATAAGCCTCCTCCTTGTTTGCAACCTCTCCAAGATCCCATCGTTGCTCACTCTCTCGTTCCATGATATCCTCAGCATCATTCTGTGTTTAATATCCCATATTGAACGTTACTAGATGATTAGTCCTTCTCTTCTGTCTGCGAATTATCAACCTGCCATCTTCTGATGTAAGGCGGCAAGCAATAGAAGACATATCCATATTTTACCGAAATATCGATGCCTGGTCGAGTTTAGACAATATCCTTATCAAGCGAGGGACATATGGAAGACATTTCAAATCAGAGACCTTTTGATGTTTGCAGTATTCGCTATTATCAAGAATTATGTTAGGCTCTCTGTGTCCAACTTAGCGAGAATGATTACGAAATAGTAACGTTTGACTAATGATAACGCGC